GAGCATGATTTCACTTTCCCATCTGTTGGCTGAAAATTCACTTATTCACCAAACATCTGCTGAGAATGTGCTGGGTTCTGAGCATGGGACTAGACATTAGGGGCCAATAAGGGTCCAGGGGGTATATGGGATACCTTTGCTCCTTCCACTCAATTTTGCTGTCAACCTAAAACTTCTCTAAAAACTGAAGTTTATTTAGAAAAAAAAAAAAAAAAAAAGATGGAGGCTCCCTCCTGGCCTCCAGGAGAGCACCTCTAGCAGGGAAGACAGGCAAATGATGCCACGCAGGTGGCACTGTTCTGCCAGCTCTCTTATTAGGGACTTAGACCCACCTGCTGCACCATCACCACACAAGAGCCACAAACAGGTGCCTCTGGGCAGGCTCTGGCTGGCTTCTACCAGCCTAGGTGTGTGGGTATCAATCCCAAGTTAATAGGAGCTCAACTGAGGACACCACTGACACCTTTGGGCTGTGCTCAGGCTCCTCCTGCGCCCAGCCCCAGGTACCTGACAGCCACTCTGGAGAAGGTTTAGCTCTTCCTCTTTCCCACTTCCCCAAGGCTAGTGTGCACCCCAGTTCTGTCCTACTCTGAGGAGGGGTCGGGCCGGTATGAAACTGGGTGTTTGAGCAACCACTGGCCTATGTCCGAGAGACCATAAAAGGGCAAGGCAGGCCTGGTGCTAGACTATCTGTAAGGTTTAACTCCCCTCCCACTTTTCTAGATAGCCCTCCTGTCCCAGTTCTGAATCACCTCCTCTCTGGAACCCACCCTGATTTTCCCAGCCATGGGATTCCGTGCTCCCCTTTCTGTGCACATCCACACACAGTGTGGACATTTCCACTTCCTGGGTCTGTCCCGTGGACCAGAGCTCAAATGGCCCTTCTAGCTAGAGCACAGACCTAACACCATTGTATTCCAGGTGCAAATATGGAAAACATCAGTGTAGGACCACCACATTTCAGTATCTCTTAGTAATGTGCATGATAGCTTCCCAGCAAGGTCTATGGAATTGAGTGTCTTTCCAGGAAGAAAGAAAAGGCTTTTGTTTTCTACCTTTACAAAGCATTACTTGAAGCACTCCTGGGATGTGCAAGGGAGAGAAAGCCCAATGACGTGACCCAGGAAATGTCACATCACTTTGGAGGTGAGGGACATTTCTGCCCCCACCCCGGGAAAATCCAGAAGGAAAAGAACGAAGGAGAAGGGGAGTCAGATGGCCAGGACAGAGACCCCATCAACCACAAAGGTTCAGGGACATGCGAAATCCTAAAGGAGTGGCACCTGGGGGTCAAGAGCATTACAAAATAAGCCCTGCTTCCAATGCACTTGTTACTGATGGAAAGATGCATGCAGGGGGACAGTGGAATCCCAACTGTAGTAGCAAAAAACATGACCTTTACATCCAATCACAGTACTTTGCCTAAAAAATAAATGCAAACACAAACCATGGGCTCACACCTGATCAGAAGGACTTCAGTTACCTCCCAAATGTAATAAATTCAAATTTATTACTCCTTTAAGTAACCCTGCCTTGTGCCAGTAGCATTCATTTACGTTATTATACTTCTCATGATCTGGTGGTGCAATGGCTTTTTTCAGGGTGAGTACAGTATTACCGTATATCTAAAACTTCCGTTTTATTACTAGCTCCCCCTTCTTCCTCAGTCATTTCATTTCTCTCTTTCCCCTAGGGGGGCCCAGAAATCTTGTTCTCCACCTCCAAAGGGATGGGAAAATCTGAGCAACTTATTTTTGTATGACCCATGAGCTAAGAATGGATTTTACATTTTTAAAGACCTGCAAACAAACAAACAAACAAAGTTATAGGACAGAGATCATATATGACCTGCAAAGTCTGAAACATTTGCTCTCTTGCCCTTTACAAAAAAGTTTGCCAGTCTCTGATGCAGCATCTTAAATTTACACAAACAAAACAAGTGATCTCTGCTACGACATTTCAATTCACTTTTAACATATGGATGATGGAAAGTGCTTGTTATTCTTACGTCCCCCAAATTTCTTTTTTTTTTTTAAGATTTTATTTATTTGTCAGAGAGAGAGAGGAGAGTGAGAGCAAGTGAGCACAAGCAGGGGGAGCGGCAGGCAGAGGGAGAAGCAGACTCCCCACTGAGCAGGGAGCCCGATGCAGGACCCGATCCCAGGACCCTGGGATCATGACCTGAGCTGAAGGCAGACGCTTAACCGGCTGAGCCACCCAGGCGTCCCACGTCCCCCAAATTTCTTGATATCAATGGCATGCATTATATAAGTCTGTACATCCTCCACGCCAACAAATACCCCAATTCTCATTTGCTTGCAGTCATGCTAAATAAACCCATCATTATCATCTTAGGTTTCATATATGCATGTGTGTACCTAATCTGAGCACAACTTTTTCAGCTATGTGAAGATCCTGGTGCCCACAGTGGGCAAGGCAAGGTGAGCAGAGCCCCCTTACATAATGCTGTCCTCACCAGACGTGGTTCAGGCTGTGAGTAGTCTGAGTTATAGAAGCAGCATGTTCACCACACAGATCCCCTGAGGGCAGGATCCATTCCTAGCCACTCCTTAGTTCAAAGGGGAGAATAAGGCTCCCAATATATGAGACAGTATGACTTTTACAAAATGTGCTGAGCCGTGTCAGCAGCCAGATCAATAGATAAAATGTATAGTACATATCTAATAAAATACTCCCCTGAAACATGCCACCAGGTGTTTCATCAGGAGTTAGAGGCAATGTAGTCACCAAGAATCTTACTCTTGTATTTGTCAAGACCTTTCCAATTGCAACAACTGAACCCCAAATCAAACTGGCCAGACCAAGTATTCGACATTATTCAGGAACTATTGAATAATTGTTCTGAACTAATTGTTCGACACTTGGAGGTGTCGTGCTTTTGGAGGTTATGTGCTCCAATAAAGCAACATAAGAGGTATGAATATGGGGAGGGATTTTTACCTGCAGGTGATATTATATACCTAAGAGTCTTACCAACTAAAAGAGAAATTAGTAATATGGCTAGATACAAGATAAATGTGCCAAAACCAAAACTACACTTTAATGACTAATAATCAGTTCAAAATAGCAATGAAAAACAGCATGATCACAATAATTTCAAAAATAATAATATGCGTAGGAAAAAATTTTAATAAGAGAAGGGAAAGACATAAAGTAAAATGCAAAACTTTATTGATAGACATAAAGCAAGATCTGAATAAATAAAGAGAAATACTACAACCAGAAGTAGGAAGTCTTCCAAGCAAAAAGACGTCGATCTTTCTCAAATTAATAAAAGAATTTTATGTCTTTTAGCAGAACCCTAATACTTTATTTCTCCATTTGGAATGAGACTAAACAATTTTCAATTTTGTGAAGGAGAGTAAATAACAAGAATCACCAAGAAAATTTAGAAAAATACTGATGTATGGGACTTGCCTCACCACATATTAAAACTTACTACAAAGCTACTACAATCAAAATATGATACTGGCACATGAGTAAATACATCAATCGATGGAACAAAACTGAGAGTTCAAAAGTAGATGCAAATAAATATGGAAGTTTAAAATAGGATAAAGACGCATTTGGATTCAACAGATAAAGAATGGATTTTTTTATTAAATGATGTTGGGACAATGACTACCCATTTAGAAAAATAACAAAGTTAGATCCTTACACTATGTAATGTCTTCACTGCCAAAAATTTAACTGTTAACCCTGGAGGAATTAAAAATACTAAGACATAGTATGGAAAAAACGTTTATATCCCTCAGGCTTAGAAAGACCTAAACAAGTTGAAATCCAGAAACCACTAGAAAAAAAGTTAAAAAGTTTGACTATCCAAAAATGAAAACCTTCTATGACAAAAGATGAAGAATAACCAAGGAAAAAATATTTGCAGTTCATAAAAAGTGTTAATATTAATATTCCTAATACTCAAGAGACTTAGTCATTACCTATAAAAAGACAAATAGCCCGAGAAAAATGATTAAAGAATCTGAATACGTACTTCCTGAAAGTTGAAATCAAAAGGCCAATCTACGAAAATTAAAGCTGCTATGCAGAATTATTCTTTTGCCAAAAGAGTTTTAAAAGTTTGACAACATCTGAAGCTGGGGAAGTTACGGAAACACTAGAGGACTCACTACTGTTGACCAAAGTGTCAGACTGTTCAATCTTTTGAAAGCAATCTGTCAAAGGTATTAAAACGCAATGTGTGCATACCAATGTGTGCCCTACTGCTAAGGACATGCAGCCTACAGAGATAAGAGCAAGAATATAGAAATGTGGGAATGCAAAGAAATTATTTAAGAATGGTTAGTACAGTCTTCCTTATAAAGCAAACAGTGGGAAAAGCTTAAATACCTATCAGTATTGCTTAGTCGAATGAACTATGGTACATCCAAAGTAAAGAATTTTATGCAACTATTACAAAGAATGTGACAGATTTGTAGGGGTTGACTATAAAGATGTTAATGATTGGTTAGTAAGTGAAAAAGGCAAGGTAAAGAACAATATGTCCAATCTTTTACTAGATTTTCTTTTAATAAAACAGGTGTGAGAATTTACATTAGATATATACATATATATATATAAAATAATTTCAGAAAAATTGGAAAAGCAGCATACAGAACTCCTAAGAGCATTTTCCTATAAGGGTTGGCATTAGATTAACAAAAATGGAAGTTTCTTTTCTTACTGTGTTTTCAGTAGTTTCCCAAGGATAGTATTACAAAACACAGCCTAGAAATTATATACAATTATATCAATTGTGTACATACGCATATCAAAGAGGGCAACTTTATACAATTTGCTAATGCACAATTCAATAAATTGGCACAAAATAATTCATTCAACCAGGAAAAAATTTCCAGATGTGACGAATGTAAATGACAAACCACAGTTCAGTAAGGAATTTTTTTTTTTAATGTCCAAAGCGAGGTTATTCTTACTATGCAAAAGAAGAGGTAACTTACCTTTGGCAATGGCTTTCTCTCCTAGCAGTTGATGCCTCCGATGAAGACCATGTTGGGCATCACAGGTCCGGGATATTCCAAAATAAAGTCAGTTCTTAACAACCAAATCGACGTTTGGCTGTAGAGATCATATGGTGTGACAGTCTTTTGGAGAATCTCGGATGCAACCTCTATAGCATTTTTTTTTAAAAAAATAACAAAATAGATGTTCCTCCAAGGAGAAGATATGATTCCATACTCTCTCTCTGAAAGTCATGGTATCTGAGAATGCTAAGAAAAATCTAGGAACATAGGATGCGGGTCTGGGACACTGTGTGCCTTCTTCAAGCTAATGGCAAAATACTCCCCTAGTGAAGACCACAGATGGGAGTGAGAAATACTTGGCTACAATTAAGCCACACATATCAAAAGGATCCATAAACACTGCATCAAAAGAACTCTCCTTTATGTATTCTATTAATTTTGTGTCGTTAAACAAATTCTTACAATGTAAAAAAAGGTCTTGAAAAATGTTGCTGGATGAACTCATTATCAAAGAAAGTAAACTTTGTTGCCGAGTTTTCCATTGAGAGTCAGAGAAAATCTTGAAATGCTGATTGAACTCCTCCAGAGTGTAAGCTGTGGAATAAGTCTTCACTGTAAAATTGGAAGATTTTCCCAGTTGCCAACTCACCTCTGGCATGATTAAAACCACCTCATGCCCTCTGTGGATGAGTTCCTCCACCACCGAACACGTGGTAAACCAGTGGCTCCCATCCATGGGTACTACCAGCAATTTGCCTGCCTCAGCAAAGCCATAAGTCAGCAGGAGACACACACAGAGAGGAGGGAAGCTGGTCAAAATCACAGGAGCCATTGGGGAAAATGGAGCCCAGAGCAATCCAGCTGCTTGGATTCTGAGCTGGTGTAATACAGTCCCAGGAGAGGGTGTGTAGTCACACATTCATTTAAGAAAAAGCACTACCAATGATTCACTCACCAGAACAATAATGAATGAGTCCCATTTGCCGAGACACATGTGTGTATGTTTTCCAGATAAGAGTAACTTTTGATCTTTGCCTTGGACGGAGATCACGCACTGATTCACAGGCAACAGTCATTTGGGAAAAGAATTATTAAGCAATGCTTTTGAGGACTCAGAGTGATAAAAATGAAAGTAAACATCAATAAACATGATATTTTGCAATTTTTTCCAAGGAAAATTTAGGTTTTATCCTCAGACTACATAAGACAATTTGGTCAGAAAGAGATTGGCGTCTCAGTTTCCAAGGAAAGACCTGAATCACTTACCACTACCTTCCTCATGGGCAGTGGAACTGTGTTCACAAAAGTCTCTGAAATATCTGGCATTGCCACTTGTTTGTTCCATATCCAAATCCTCTGAGGTCTCCAAAATGCCAAGAGTGACGACCCCACCTCCATGGACCATTCTAGGGATGTGATTGATGGAATGTGATGTCATCTATTTTAAAATCACGTTCTCTAGATGCATCACAGTGCAGTGGGTGGTCACCTGCCCTATGCTTGCCAGAAGCACTCTGCTCTCTCTTTCCTCTCTGCTTCTGCATTCCTCTGTCTAGACCTCTCTGCTGTGGGCTCGCCCCAATCGGCCTGTTACCCTACTTCAGGCATCTCTTTATCTGTCTCCCACACTCTACCCAGCACTCGTTGAGGCCAGAGGATATATCTTCTCCATATTTGCACCCTCCTCTGACAGGACCCATGCTATGCCTCACTCAGAGAAAACACACAAGGAATGTTTGTTGCATTGGACTGAATTACACTATGCAAGTTTTCTAGAAACCTTTATGGATGAGCTCAGTGGTGTACGTCAAATAAGAGAAACATTTATTAACGGATTCTAGAGCTCACCTGGGGGGCATAATCATTGTTAGGAGCCAACATGGCTCCTTCTGAGATGCCTGAACTATTATTAGACATTTGCTTAGTCACCATATACTTCAGTGACTGAGGGACTTTCAGATGAATGTCTGAAAAATAAAAATGGGGCAAAATGATCTACCTTCCCAGGAGGCTTACTTCCGAATAGATATAAATAAAACAGAAAATAGAAGAACAATAGAGATAATCAGTGAACCCAAAAGCTGGTTCTTTGAGAAGATGAATTTACCTGATAAAATTCTAACTTAACTGACCAGGAAAAAAAAGAGAGAGAGAGAGAAAAAAGGAAAAATTACCAATATCAGGAATGAGAAATGTGGCATCACTACAGATTCCACAGTTGTTAAAAGAAAAATAAGAGGTTCGAGACCAAGATGGCAAGGGGCAGGAGACCTTAATTTCATCTGGTCCCAGGAATTCAGCTAGATATCTATCAAATCATTCTGAACACCTGCAAACTCAACTGGAGATCTAAGCAAAGAATAGCTACAACTCTACAAAGAGAAAAGTGACCACTTTCTGCAAGTGTATATTTCTCTGGGTTCGTTATTGCCATTTTAGTATTTTGTTCTTTCATTCATCTATTCTTTGCTGGAAAGAATGACAAGATGGAAAAACTCACCTCAAAAAAGAAAACAAAGAGGCAGTACTGACTGCCAGGGACGTAATCAATATGACCATTAGTAAGATGTCAGAACTAGAGTTCAGAATAATGATTATAAAGATACTAGCTGGGCTTGAAAAAGGGATAGAAGACACAAGAGAATCTCTTCCTGGAGAAATAAAAGAATTAAATCTAACAAAGCTGGGGAAAAAAAGGACTATTAATGAGGTGCAATAAAAAAAATGAAGGCTCTAATGATTAGGGTAAATTAAGCAAAAGAGAGAATTAGTGATATAGAAGACCAATGATGGAGAATAAAGAAGCTGAGAAAAAGAGAGGTAAACACTACTGGATCACAAGGGCAGAATTCGAGAAATAAGTGATACCATAAAGTGGAACAATTTTAGAATAATTGGGTTCCCAGAAAAAGAGGAAAGATAGAGGGGCAGAAAGTATATTGGAGAAAATTATACTGGAGAACTTCCCTAATCTGGGGAAGGAAACAGGCATTAAAATCCAGGAGGCACAGAGAACCTCCTCAAAATCAATAAAAATAAGTCAACACCCCAACATATAATAGTGAAACTTACAAATCTCAGAGACAAAGAGACAATCCTGAAAGCAGCTCGGGGATAAGAGGTCTGTAAGCTCCAAGGGTGGAAACATTAGACTGGCAGCAGACCCATCCATGGAGACCTGGCAGGCCAGAAAGGACTGGCATGATCTATTCAGGGTACTAAATGAGAAAAATATGCAGCCAACGATACTTTATCCAGCTAGGATGTCATTCAAAATAGAAGGAGTGATAAAAAAGCTTCCAGGACAAACAGAAACTAAAAGAATTTGTGATCACCAAACCAGCTCTACAGGAAACTTTGAAAGAGGTCCTCTAAGCAAAGAGAGAGTCCAAAAGTAACATAGACCAGAAAGGAACAGAGACAATACACAGTGACAGTCACTTTACGGGCAATACAATGGCACTAAATTCATATCTTTCAATAGTTACTCTGAAAGTAAATGGGCTAAATGCCCCAATCAAAAGACACAGGGTATCAGATTGGATAAAAAGCAAGACCCATCAATATGCTGTCTGCAAGAGACTCGTTTTAGACCCAAACACACCACCAGATTGAAAATGAGGGAGTGGAAAACCATTTATCATGCTAATGGACATCAAAAGAAAGCTGGGGTGGCAATCCTTATATCAGACAAATTAGATTTTAAACCAAAAACTAATAAGAGATGAGGAAGGACACTATATCATACTTAAAGGGTCTAGCCAACAAGAAGATCTAACAATTGTAAATATTTATGTCCCTAACATGGGAGCAGCCAATTATATAAGCCAATTAATAACAAAATCAAAGAAACACATCAATAATAATACAATACTAATAGGGGACTTTAACACCCCCCTCACTGCAATGGACAGGTCATCGAAGCAGAAGATCAGCAAGGAAATGAGGGCTTTGAATGATACACTGGACCAGATGGACTTCACAGATATATTCAGAATATTCCATCCCAAAGCAACAGAATATACATTCTTCTCTAGTACACACGGAAAATTCTCCAGAATAGGTCACATCCTGGGTCACAAATCAGGTCTTAACAGGTACCAGAAGATTGGGATCACTCCCTGCATATTTTCGGGCCACAGTGCTCTGAAACTGGAACTCAGTCACAAGAGGAAGGTTGGAGAGACCTCAGATACATGGAGGCTAAAGAGCATCCTACTAAAGAATGAATGGGTCAACAAAGCAATTAAAGAAGAATTTTAAAAATTCATGGAAACAAATGAAAAGGAAAGCACAACTGTTCAAAATCTTCAGGATGCAGCAAAGGCGGTCCTAAAAGGGAAGTACGTAGCACTACAAACCTTTCTCAAGAAGCAAGAAAGGTCTCAAATACACAACCTAACCCTACATCTAAAGGAGCTGGAGAAAGAACAGCAAATAAAGCCTAAACCCAGCAGGAGAAGAGAAATAATAAAGATTAGAGCAGAAATCAATGAAATAGAAACCAAATGAACAGTAGAACAGATTGAGGGAACTAGGAGCTTGTTCTTTGAAAGAATTCATAAGATTGATAAACCCCTGGCCAGACTTATCCAAAGAAAAGAAAAAGGACCCAAATAAGTAAAATCATGAATGAAGGAGGGCAGATCACAGCCAACCCCGAAGAAATACAAACAATTAGAAGAACATATTATGAGCAACTATATGCCAACAAATTAGGCAATCTGGAAGAAATGGATGCATTCCCAGGGATGTATAAACTACCAAAACAGAACCAGGAAAAAATAGAAAACCTGAACAGATCCATAACCACTGAGGAAATTGAAGCAGTCATCAAAAATCTCCCAACAAACAAGAGCCCAGGGCCAGATGGCTTCCCAGGGGAATTCTACCAAATATTTAAAGAATATTTAATACCTATTCTTCTGAAACCATTTCAAAATATCGAAATGGAAGGAAAACTTCCAAACTCTTTCTATGAGACCAGCAGTACCTTGATCCCAAAACCAAAGACCCCACCACAAAGTAGAATTACAGACCAATATCCCTGATGAACATGGATGCAAAAATTCTCACCAAGATACTAGCCAATAGGATCCAACAGCACATTAAAAGGATTATTCACCACGACCAAGTGGGATTTACTCCTGGGCTGCAAGGTTGGTTCAACCTCCGCAAATCAATCAAATGATAAACTACATAAATAAAAGAAATGACAAGAACCGTATGATTCTCTCAATAGATGCAGAAGAAGCATTTGACAAAGTACAGCATCCTTTCTTGATGAAACCCTTCACAGTGTAGAGATAGAAGGTGCATACGTCAATGTCATAAAAGACATCTACGAAAAACCCACAGCCAATATCATTCTCAATGGGGAAAAACTGACCCTAAGGTCAGGAACACGGCAGGGATGTCCACTGTCGCCACTGCTATTAAACACAGTACTAGAAGTCCTAGCCACAGCAATCAGACAACAAAAAGAAATCAAAGGCATCTGAATTGGCAAAGAAGTCAAACTCTCACTGTTTGCAGATGACAGGATACTTTATGTGGAAAACTCAAAGACTCCACCCCAAAATTGCTAGAACTCATACAGGAATTCAGTAAAGTGGCAGGGTATAAAATCAATGCCAGAAATCAGTTGCATTTCTATACACCAACAATGAAACAGAAGAAAGAGAAATTAAGGAGTTGATTCCATTTACAATTGCACCCAAAACCATAAGATACCTAGGAATAAGCCTAACCAAAGAGGCAAAGGATCTGTACTCAGAAAACTATAGAATATTCATGGAAGAAATTGAGGAAGACACAAAGAAATGCAAAAAT